ACGCAGTCAGCAGCCATCGGGTCACGTCGCTTTCTGCAGCCATGGCGAGCTCAGGGTAGAGGACGGGAAGATCCGATCGCCCATGACTGACGAGCATGTCGCCTCCAGGAAGGAGTTTCTCTGCAGCGGCTCCTTCTCCGGAGCACTCGGGCACGTTCCTGTTGCCTCGCCCTCCTCCTCCTGACCGCCTTCTCGCAGCATGTGGAGCGTTGGAGAGGACGGAGAGATCGCGCTGGAGTCTTGTGCTGCCTCGGAGAGAATAACAGCATGAGCGCTACTAAAGTAAAAGTCATCGCACAACTTGCGGAAGCTTCAGCTGGCGGCAGGGAAACTTGCGGGCCGGGGCCGGGAGCCCTCGAGCTCGGTCAGGCTCGGCTGAGCCTCGGGGCCTCGGCTGGCGGCCGACTCGGCCTAAGAGTCAGTCCCGGATCGGAGTCCGACGGCGACTGATCGACCGGACCGGGGGCTCCGACTCTTTTCCCGAGTCACTGGGCCCGGCCCACTCGCCAGTCCGCGCTCCGTGGTACCGTGCTGCGGCTGCCGGGGCCAACTCAGACAGGCCCTCCACGAGCACTGAGACGGCCTCAAGGCCCAACCGGGCACCGGGCCCGGCCGGGCCCCGGCCATCCGGCCACCGTGACCGGCGTCAGTCTGAGGATTCCCCGGGATCCCCATGAGCGGGGATATCCACATCCCCGCTCATGACCATTCTTCTCTTACAAGCAGCACTGCAAGCAGCCAGCCCGTACAAGCGCTCTGGCTCAAGACCGAAACTTGCCTCCTCCTCCTCCTCCTCCTCCTCCTCCTCCTCCTCCTTCATCTTGTCATCTTCTTGATCTACTAGTTGGCTCAACACCTCTCGCTTCTCCCCGTCCCGTAACTCGCCTTCGTTCCTTTCTCTTCTTTCACACGTATCAGACTTCGATTCCCCGTCTCCTCCTCTTGTGAAAACAGATCAACTTTCATCGTTCAAGCTTCCCGTGCGTTACGATGGCAGGAGGACTGGAGGGGATGAAGGCGAAGGCTCTCATCGTCGGAGGGCTGGCGGGCACTGCTGCAGCTGCCTTTTACGTCACGGTGATCTTGCCAAGTCAGTACAAGAACACACCCATGTGAGTTGAGCCTGACAGTGAAAGAGTCATGCATGCTTGCTCTTGTACTGATGTCTACCAGGCCCTCGGATGTGTACAAGGAGGGCAGACCGTCGTCCTCCAAGAGCATGTGGAAGAACATGGCGCCGAGAGCAAAGAAGCTTGATACCGACGAGGACGACTGAGCGAGCACGTCATGGTTGGCTTTACATTCATTAAAGAATCTTTGAGGAGCAGCACGCGCCATGTCGGCGCATGGCGTCGTGGGCCTCATATTCTACATCTGTTCTTCCCGTCGTGACGAGTGATGTACACGAGCGTGAAGGACATGGCGGCGAGGAGGGGGAGGTGCACATAGCGTCCGTAGAACTCCCGCAGATTGTTGACCCACTCGCTGCGCTGCTTGCCCGTTCTCAACCACTTGTGGAGCTGGTACCTGCCGCAGGCCTCAGCAGAACTCTCAACGAGCACAAGGGCCGACCTGGTCTGCTCCACCCCGTCTTTGATGTCTGCCGTACAGCAGGACTCGAAGATAATCTCATCGACATTCTGGAAGAGAAATATCAGAAGGAGCAGGAGCAGGGGCAGGGGCAGGGGCAGGGGCAGGGGCAGGAGCAGGAGCAGCAGGAGCAGGAGCATTAGGGAAAGGAGGAGGCATCAGGTTCAGACGCAGCAGCTGGGCTGCTCTCGGCCTCACCTGCACGAACATGATGGCGACTGTGGATCTGATGACAAGGTCGACGGAGACCGAGGTCAAGATCCAGCAGACCCCCGCCACGAGGATCCCCGACCAGGTAAACACCTCGGTCAGGACGGCGAAGATAAACACTAAGACCCGGATGAACCAGTGGGTCCGAACAGTGTCCACAGCCTCGTCGACCCAACACACTGGGCTGAGGAGGGAGATATTGGCTGCCTTCATCATGCTGGGCACGTTGTTGAGCATCAGAGTCATGAAGACCATGATGGCGGAGAACTGAAGGTCCATGGGGATGTGGCAGATGTTGGCCTCGTCCAGCGGCGGGAGCGAGCTCCACAGCTCGTACGCGAAGGCGATCTGGATGAGAACGGACGCGATGACCATGAGGCCGCAGTTGAGGAAGGCGTGTCCGATGGAGTCGCGCAAGGCCATGTGGATGAAGGCTCCTGCTCAACGCGTCAACGCCGCCTCCTCCCCTCGTCAAGAGGACTCGGACCGTAGGCGTTTTCAGCGCAGTTGACCCAGTTCTCCTCCAGGTCGTCGGGGGTGTTGTCGTCGGCTGCCTCAAGTCGTCAGCAGCAGTCGCAGTTGCTGGTCTTTCGCTCACGTTTCGTCGGTTTCTGACCGTTGGGACCGTCGGAGTTCATGATGGGGAACAGCTGCAGGCACGTCAGCCCCTCCCTCGCCTCCGGTTGACGCGCTCACAGAGTCTCCTGGGGACAGCAGCGCTCCTGGGTATCCTGCATGCGAACCAAAGTCAGGGGAGGCGCGCAATGTTGACTCGCTGCTTACGGTCATGCTGTGACATGTTCGAGTCGGCAACATGTGCTGAGAGGTCGGAGCTTGACGCATGGAACTCTGACATGATGGGAGGGATCTCTTTGCGGACGATCTCGTGCAAGGTTTCCATGTCCACGCTGCTGGTTCTCCAACCTGCTCACAAGCTCCGTCAGCGTCTCTCTGCTTGGCAGGAGAAGTTACCGTTGTAGAAGGCGTGCGGCAGCGGCTTCATCCCCTGAGAGCAGTGAGCAGGGGCATTGTGCAAGGCAGGGGAGGACTACAGCGTACCTTCATCACCCGACTTGACCGTCGCTGGTCGGACTGAGGAGAAGGGTTGGTGTTGGGCTCCCGCTGAGTGAAGCTCTCCTCTGAGTTCACCGACCCGGGCAGGTCGTCACCGCAGCTGTTGGAGGAGATGAACTTGTCGAGGTCGGGGAACTGAAACATGATCCTGCTCTTGATGTCATTCAGCTCGCGCAGAATCCCAACGATGTCCTCCATGTCCAGAGGACGTCTCTCCTGCCCTGTGCGGCTCGACCTCCCCCGCTTCCTCCCCTTGGCCGCCTCCTGCAACTTGAGGTCGTTATCCAGCGAGTCTTCAGTCATGCTCAACATCTCGGGTTGCACGGATCTTGTTCGTTTCAGCATTTCGGGCGCAGGAGCATGATGGGAGGATGTGCTGGCCTTCTTGCCCACGATCGCTTCTTCCATCCTGTCATTGACAAGCAAATCAGCTCCAACCCCTGAGAAGGATCGACACGTCCCCTTCGAACCAATCTCTGTCATTACTCATCTCCTCCTTGGTCTCCCCTCAATCACCCTTCTCTATCCCCACACTCCTCCACTGGTGATTTTCTCTGTGGTTGGACCTTACTCTGATTTCTGGTTTCACTTCCTTCTCTCTCCTGTGTTTCGGAATCCTCGTATCAAAAGGCCGAATCCACAGTTCAGCATGACCGCAGCAATCACGATGCTTCTATCACATCAGCCTGCAACCTTGCCTGCCTACTCCTCTCTTGCACTCACTTTGAGAGGAGCTGCTGTCCTCGTCAGCTCCTCTCCTCCTCTCCACCTCCCTCCCCCTGTCATCGCTCGCTCCGCTGCATTCCCGTTCATGTACCTCCACCTCCTAATCTCCCGGCCAGCCCCTGGTCTCTCAGTCCCCTGGACTACCCTACCCCATCTCCCGGCCTATCCCACCCTAGAATCATGACAGCTACGATTACAGTACCCCCATCGACACCACTGGATCCTCTTCTACCACCCGGTCATTCAGCCAACGGCCCTATCATATCCATGTCTACAAAGCAGTCACTCTCTGACGCACCCCACCCCACCCTACCCCACCCTCCCCTACCCTACTCTACCCCTTCACTTGTATCCGGAAGTAGGGGGCGTCCTATCCCTGACCAGCGGCTTGCATTCCTTCTACCAGACCACCGGTGCCTTCTCTGTTACCGACGAGGGTAGGGGTGCTGAATGACTGTACCGTGATTAGCCTCACGGGTGGGGTCCCAAAGAGACGGGTAGGGTTTGTTGGCGGTTGAGCGGAGAAGGTGACTATGGGGGGTGGGTCCTCTAAGTTGAGGGTCCCCCTTCACCTGGTACTACCGGCGGCCCATGGATGATAAAATGAACCTGGTATCCAAACTTTTGAAGGTCAGGGGGTGGGGGGAGGGGGGGTAGTCTATCAACTTAGGGTGGGGTTAGTTCCGGTCAAGGTGGTACCTACCCGACCCTTTAAGGGACTTGGCATGTATCCCAGGGGGGTACTGGGATACGTTTCATGCCCCACCGCCAGGCTTCGGACCTACGCGTTGAAAGCCTTTTTAAGACCAAGGGTAGGGGTATTTTCGCCTATTTCGTTGCCCCGTTGACCATCCATGACTCCTGAGGCTCCATAGGCTAGTAGAGAAATTCTGGGTCAACAGATATACCACCCCCTTGAGTCATGTGGGTGCAGCAGGGGACCCCCCGGAAAATCATTTATATTCACTAAAAAATTGAAAAATCTTTTGGTGCCCTAAAATGATTTTAGTCGCCATCACTCTGATGAGAGAAACTTCACCCTCTTGCCGGACCCCCACCCATTCATTCCAGGCCCCGGGTACCCCTCTATCGTCTACTTTCAGCCAGTTCTAAGGTGGGGTCCACTGGCGACCCGGTTTCAACTTGACTTTACTACAAGTCACATGTAAAAAGGCTTTTACGTTTAAAACGAGTAGTAAAGGAGCAACACCCCACCCCCTGTGGCCGGCCTCGAGCTGGTTGGTGATCTGGTTGCGAGGGCCAACTCTGTCCTCCGGGTGGGGTGGGGTACTGACCTGATCATTCCAATACCCGTGATGTATTGGTAAATCATAGGGGTAGTCTCTGAGCAAGCTATAGCCTGAGGGGGTCCGTGAGCCAGGGGGGATCGGATCTAATCCGAGGCTCGTGACTTCAGCGTCAGCAGGCTCAGCCCACCACTATGCAAGAATCCTGATGACGACTTTATAGAAAACGTCCAGGTGGAGGGGGTCACGTACGCTCCGAGCCTCGCAACTTCACCGTCACTGAGCCTGGACTCTTGTAAAGGCCTTCTACCGGCGTGACGTGACGTCGCTAATCGGCTAAACCGACCTCTTCAGGGCCCGGCCCGGCCCGGCCCTGGGCCGCCGGGCAGCCCCCTTGACTCCCGATCAGCGCGCCGGGCCCCGCCGCCGCGCGGCGGCTACCAGTAGGCGGCGGCCCGTGACGGTGGCCGCCCCCGGGCGCTGAGCGCGCTGACTCCCGGAGTCCGGGCGGCCTTGAAGGCCGAAGTCCGGCCCCCCCGGGCCCCGGGACCGTGACGGGTCCGAGTCACTGCTAGTGACTGAGTTCGAGGCGGCCGCTTACACTGAGACACTGCAGACTCAGAATCTGGGAACTTGGTTCTTCCGGGCGAAGCCTTCAACGGACGGTCAAGTTTGACCCGCGCACTCACTGCCGGCTCTCTCAACGGTCATCATGGCAGCAACGGCGGGGGTGAGGGACTCGAGGAAGACTGAGGTTCGAAGGAAGGAGGAGGGAGAGGGAGGGAAGGGGAAGGGGGAGGGGGAGAGGGAGAGGGAGGCAACCCAGACTGTAGATGTCGATGGGAGAGTCAGGGAGCTGCTGGAGAGTCGGAGCGAGCATGGCGACATAGACGAGCTGCTGCGAGACGCATCGAGCATGGTGACGTCTCTCGGGGACGTTGACCCTCATGCTGTTGAGGAGCTCATCAGGGACCTCGTCAACGCTCAGAACCCGCTCGGAGCATGCATCAGGAAGAGGGTAGAAGAAGCCTCAGGCAAGATGGAGGGAGGGCGGCATGGTGAGGGCAGGGAGGAGGAGGCAGTCCGATGGGAGCAGGTGGAGCGGTGGTGGAGCATGCATGGAGAAGGCAGGCTGCGTGCTCTGATACGGGAAGAGCTTCAGTGTTACACAGAGACGCACAAGAAGCTCGAGAAGCGGCTCAAGGAAGCGAGCTCTCTGCTGAGGAGGGTAGCGAGCGTCAGCAACAAAGTTTTGCTGGCAAGCAGCCAGCGCAGGGCGAGCAACGAGCCCAAGGAAGGAAGCTTGCTGAACGTGAGCGAGCATGGCACAGACAGGAAGCTGTCAAGGCAAGAGGCGGGCCAAGGCCATATCAACAGCACAAGGCCTGCTGGTACTCCGTGGGTACAGGTTTATGGGAGGAGGAGCTTGAGGACAGAGACGGAGAGCGAGAGGAGGAGCGTCAAGGCAAGTTCCTTCTGTTGCTGCTCTTGACTAGCATGAGGGGTGGGTGACGGTCCTTCTGCTCCCCCAGGCTCCAACGAGCTTCCGCCTGCCTTTCGAGATCAGCCTGGAGGATATCGGGGAGGACAGCGACTGGAAGTTGGAGGAGGGAAGGGATTTCACTCCTGCGAGGGATCGGATTCAAGGAAGGAAGAGCAAGAGACGAGTCAAGTCAGCAGATCCTTCCGCTGCTCGCAGACGAGGTTACCTCCTGCCTCCTCCCGCTCCCCTGCTCTCCCCATCCCTGTGTTTGCTCCTCCATGTTTCTTCCTCTTCTTCCTGCCGTTACCTACTCCTCTCCTCTCCTCTCCTCTCCTCTCCTCTTCTCTCCTCTCCTCTCCTCTCCTCTCCTCTCCTCACGTCTGAGGAGCATTCTCCAGCCTTCGTCCTCCCTCCCCTCTTGTTCTCACTTGCTGTTCTTGCTAGACGCTGCTAGGGCAGCGGAGGCACGATGGGGCTCGGGGCGGGAGACAGGAGGGCCTCTGAGTCAGAGCCTGACGTCCCTCGACTCGTTCCGGTCAGCGTTTGAGAAGGAGCTGCAGAGGAGGATGGAGGAGGTGAGACTGCTGGTGGCGCTGGGAGAGGAGGGAGGGGGCTGATGGGATGAGCAGAGGGAGCTGCCCAAGGACGAGGTAGAGAGAAGGAGGGGGAAGACGTCGATCAGCATGAGGAAGAAATTGAATTTTGATGAGGCGATGGGACAGGGGAGACCCTCTGGTAGAGTCTGATGAAGAGATTCGAAGCTCTTGCTGTGTGAGGAAGAGGAGAAGAGGGGAAAGGAGGAGAGGACAGGGGTAGCAGGAGAGGACAAGGGGTAGTAGGAGGAGAGGGACGGTGACTGTGGGAGGGGGAAGGAGAAGGCTGAGGGGAGAATTGTGGGAGGAGGAGAGAGGTATTAGTTTTCCTCATCACAGACAGAGAGAAAATTCAGAAGATCAAGCAGAGTTAAGAGACGGACGACGCCAATGCTTGCATCTGCGAGGAGATCAAGGAAAAGACAAGAGAGTGTTGCGAGGAGAGGACAGGGAAGAGAAGAGGAGAAGAGATGAAGCGGAGAGGAGGAAGAGGCAGAAGCGGATGAGAAGAAGTGGCGAAGAGGTAGAGGAGGAGGAGAAGGAGAAGGAGAAGGAGGAGGACGAGGAGAACGACGAGGACGAGGACGCTGCGGAGAAGGTTGGGGACGAGCGTGAAGAACCTCCAAGAGCTGTTGGTTTAAGGTTGAGATTCGCTGCTTGACAGCTTCGCTGGTCAGCGGAAGTTTGCTTGCTGGACTCATGGCAGGCTGTGAAGGCGTGAGATGGGGAGAACAAGGAGGAAGAGGAAGAGGAAGAGGAAAGGGACGCGAACGGGGCAGGGGGAAGGGAACGGGATGGGGGAAGGGATGGGGAGGGAGGGGAGGGAGGGGAATGGAAAAGGGGAGGTAAGGTGAGGGGAGGGAGGGAGGGGAGGGAGGAGGGAGGTACCGA